GGTATGGAAGTCCCTCAAAAAATTCAACGTAGAAATACCATATGATCCAATAATTCAAAGAAAACTAAACACTAATTCGAAAAGATATATGTATCCTTATATTTATTGCAGCATTATTTACAACAATAATGATATGGAAGCAACCTAAAAGTGTCCATCAATAGATGAATGGATAAGGAAGCTGTGGTACACACACATGTACATATATACAGTGGCATATTATGCAGCCATAAAAAAGGATGAGATCATGCCATTTGTGACAACATTGATGGACCTGGAAGATATTATGCTAAGTGAAATAAGTCATAGAAAGAGAAATAGCATATGACTTCATTCATATGTGGAATCTAAGAAAAACAAATGAATAAACAGAAAGCAGAATCAGACCTATAAACATGGAACAAACTGATGATCGCCAGAGAGAAGGAGGATGGGGCGTCAGGGCAAAATAGGTGAAGGGGTGTGAGAGATACAGGCTTCCGGTTATGGAATGAGTAAGTCACAGGAATAAAAGGTACAGTTAAGGAATACAGTGAATGAAATCATGATGCATTATACAGTGATAGATGGTAGATTCATTTGTGATCAGCACAGCATAATGTAGAAACTTACTGAATCACTATGTTGTACATCTGAAACTAACATAATATTGAGTGTCCTCTATACTCATTTAATAAAGTTTAAACTCCAGGAAAAAAAAAAAAAAAGAATGAATGGGCTAACCACGCAGTTAATGAGGAAATTAAAAAGTATATGGAAGTCAATGAAAATGATAACACCACTACCCAAAACCTCTGGGACGCAGCAAAGGCGGTCATAAGAGGAAAGTATATAGCAATCCAGGCCTTCCTAAAGAAGGAAGAAAGATCTCAGAAACACTCCCTAACCTTACACCTTAAGAAGATAGAAGAAGAACAGCAAAAACCCCAAACCAGCAGAAGACAGGAAATAATAAAGATTAGAGCAGAAATTAATCCTATCAAAACCAAAAAAACAGTAGAACAGATCAATGAAACCAGAAGCTGGTTCTTTGAAAGAATTAACAAAATTGATAAATCATTAGCCAGTTTGATCAAGAAGAAAAAAGAAAGGACCCAAATAAATAAAATCAAGGATGAAACAGGAGAGATCACAACCAACACAATAGAAATCAACACAATAAGAGAATATTATGAGCAATTATATGCCAATAAAATGGGCAATCTGGAAGAAATGGACAAATTCCTAGAAACATATACACTACCAAAACTGAAATAGGAAGAAATAGAAAATTTGAACAGACCCATAACCAGTAAGGAAATCAAATTAGTAATCAAAAATCTGCCAAAAAACGAGTCCAGGGCCAGATGGCTTTCCAGGGGAATTCTACCAAACATTTAAGGAAGAGTTAACACCTATTCTCTTGAAACTGTTCCAAAAAATAGAAATGGAAGGAAAACTTCCAAACTGTTTCTACGAAGCCAGTATTACCCAATTCCAAAACCAGACAGAGACCCCACTAAAAAGGAGAACTAGAGACCAATTTCCCTGATGAACATGGATGCAAAAATTCTCAACAAGATATTAGCCAACCAGATCCAACAATACATTAAAAAAATTATCACCACGACCAAGTGGGATTTATACCTGGGATGCAGGGCTGATTCAATATCTGCAAAACAATTAACGTGATTCATCACATCAATAAAAGAAAGGACAAGAACCATGTGATCCTCTCAACAGATGCAGAGAAAGCATTTGACAAAATATAGCATCCTTTCTTGATAAAAACCTTCAGGAAAGTAGGGATAGAAGGAGCGTACCTCGAGATCATAAAAGCCATATATGAATGACCCAACGCTAATATCATCCTCAATGGGGAAAAACTAAGAGCTTTCCCCCTAAAGTCAGGAACAAGACAGGGATGTCCACTCTCGCCACTGCTATTCAACATAGTATTGGAAGTCTTAGCCTCTGCAATCAGACAACACAAAGAAATAAAAGGCATCCAAATCGGCCAGGAGGAGGTCAAATTTTCACTCTTTGCAGATGACATGATACTCTATATGGAAAAGCCAAAAGATTCCACCAAAAAACTGCCAGAATTGATTTATGAATTCAGCAAAATTGCAGGATATAAAATCAACACACAGAAATCGGTTGCATTCCTATACGCTAACAATGAAGCGACAGAAAGAGAAATCAAGGAATCGATCCCATTTACAGTTGCACAAAAAAACCATAAAATACCTAGGAATAAATCTAACCAAAGAGGTGAAAAATCTATACATGAAAACTATAGAAAGCTTATGAAAGAAATTGAAGAAGACACAAAAAAATGGAAAAAGATTCCATGATCCTGGATAGGAAGAACAAATATTGTCAAAATGTTGATACTACCCAAAGCAATCTACATATTCAATGCCATCCCTATCAAAGTAACACCAGCATTCCTCACAGAGCTAGAAAAAATAATCCTAAAATTTGTATGGAACCAGAAAAGACCCCAAATGGCCAAAACAATCTGAAAAAGAAAACCAAAGCAGGAGGCATCACAATCCCAGACTTCAAGCTATACTACAAATCTGTCATCATCAAGACAGTATGGTACTGGCACAAGAACAGACACTCAGATCAATGAAACAGAATAGAGAACCCAGAAATGGACTCACAAACGTATGGCCAACTAATCTTTGACAAAGCAGGAAAGAACATCCAATAGAATAAACACAGTCTCTTCAGCAAGTGGTGCTGGGAAAACTGGACAGCAACATGCAGAAGAATGAATCTGGACCACTTTCTGACACCATACACAAAAATAAACTCAAAACGGATGAAAGACCAAAATGTAAGACAGGAAGCCATCGAAATCCTCAAGGAGAAAGCAGGCAAAAACCTCTTTGATCTTGGCCACAGAAACTTCTTACTCAACACATCTCCAGAGACAAGGGAAACAAAAGCAAAAATGAACTACTGGGACCTCATCAAAATAAAAAGCTTCTGCATAGCGAAGGAAACAATCAGCAAAACTAAAAGGCAACCGATGGAATGGGAGAAGGTATTTGCAAATGACAGATAAGATAAAGGGTTAGTATCCAAAATCTATAAAGAACTTATCAAACTCAACACCCAAAAACCAAATAATCCAGTGAAGAAACGGGCAAAAGACATGAATAGACACTTCTCCAAAGAAGACATCCAGATGGCCACCCGACACATGAAAAAAACGCTCCACGTCACTCATCATCAGGGAAATGCAAATCAAAACCACAATGAGATACCACATCACACCTGTCAGAATGGCTAAGATTAACAACTCAGGCAACAACAGATGTTGGCGAGGATGCGGAGAAAGAGGATCTCTTTTGCATTGTTGGTGGGAATGCAAGCTGGTGCAGCCACTCTGGAAAACAGTATGGAGGTTCCTCAAAAAACTAAAAATAGAACTACCCTACGACCCAGCAATGGCACTAGTAGGCATTTATCCAATGGATACAGGTGTGCTGTTTCGAAGGGACACATGCACCCCCATGTTTATAGCAGCACTATCAACAATGGCCAAAGTATGGAAAGAGCCCAAATGTCCATCGATGGACGAATGGATAAAGACAAATGTAGTATACATATATATAATGGAGTACTACTCGGCAACCAAAAAGAATGAAATCTTGCCATTTGCTACTACATGGATGGAACTGGAGGGTATTACGCTAAGTGAAATTAGTCAGTCAAAGAAAGACAAAAATCATATGGCTTCACTCATATGAGGACTTTAAGAGACAAAACAGATGAGCATAAGGGAAGGGAAACAAAAATAAGATAAAAACAGGGAGGGGGACAAAACAGAAGAGACTCATAAATATGGAGAACAAACTGAGGGTTACGGGAGGGGTTGTGGGAGGAGGAATGGGCTAAATGGGGAAGGGGCACTAAGGAATCTATTCCTGAAATCTTTGTTGCACTACATGCTAACTAATTTGGATGTAAATTTTAAAAACTAAAAAACAAAATTAAAAAAAAGATTAAGATAGAGAGCATCATGATGATTGTTTTATTTAGAGGGGGGGAAAGACTTTGGGAAATGGTGCTTTTGTCTTTAAGTGAATATTAATTTTGCACAAACTAACGCACACTATGTACAACATTTTTATAAGAGCAAATAACAAGAGATCAAACCGATATATTTCTTCACATAGCCAAATAAAAGAGAAGCTCATGGAATCAGTGCTGAGATAGCCCAACACAACATGTAGAACACAGTAACGGATTCTAAAGATGGCCCTGAAATGATCAAGAGAAACTTAATTCCAGATGGTCTTTCCCTGTAATTTGGGCCATACTGACACACCAGCACAATTCACTTACAATTCACTTACACAGCTCCCTCACACATATACTCAGGAGTGTCTGTCATTCTATGGATAGAAGGAAAATGGTATTTCACTAGAACACAAGGGCCAAGACAGCGAGGATTTTTGTGTATACCGTTGCATTTTTTGCGGGTACGTTGTTTTGTGTACCGTCGAGCCAGAAGACCAACAGCTTAACTTATGACCACTTCCTGTGAAAAGAACTGGAAATATTATTTACACCTTGAAAATCTTGGTAAGTTATGAAGGATTAATGTGTGCTTATGTATACCAAGGGTGTACCAAAGAAATAGTACATTTAGGAAAAAAGTTGCTTCAAATGCTACCTTTTAGGTATGTGGAAATTAGACCCGCTGGGAGCTTACTGAACGACCATCAGGCAACAGAAAGGGGCAATGCTACAACAGAGATTTTTGTAGAGAAATATTCAAGTGGAAGAAAATGGTCACACCTGGTTCAGTGTCACCTCCTGCCAGAGCCAACATCAAGGCTTCAGCACGTTTCTTCCCTCAGAGTAGGTTCTCCAAGAGCCATGCGAGCCATACTGGTGTAGGTAAACTTTTGGGAAACTATCCCTACCTTTTCCATTGACCTTCTTCCACCCCCGTAGAAGAAAGATACTGGCATATGGAAAAGCCTTATCTGAATTACCTGATGCCGGGCTCGACTCTGGTCCAGAAGCTGCCGGGACTGAAGTTTTTGTTGTTCAAGTTGCTGCAGGGCAAAATGGAGTTGGTAACTGCCCGCTGTGGGGTGATACTTGTGCTGAGGGACAACCCCCGTAGCCTTGCTATATGCGTTGTTCTCTACCTCTCCCTCCCAGGCAAAGCCACCTGTTTGAAGGCTCCTGAAGAGAAAAGAAAGCAGAGCTCTTAGAGTGGTTGTGTGAACAGCCTAAAGGAAAAGAGAGAAATATCACAGGTATTTTTCCTTTACAGAGCTAACATAGCTTGGAATTTACAAATCTGTTTGTGTGAGAAATCATCTGACTCGCCCACTAAACCACAGCTCCATGAAGACAAAGACAGGGCCCGCTCTGTTCTCCACTCTCTTTGTAGCACTTATCCTGAGGCCGGGGCACATGGTCTGTCTACAGTATCTGTTGAAGGTTAAGTAATTAAAATAGTCATTTCAGTCCCCTGTGACGGCCACAAGGTCTTCCAAAAAGGAGCCCAGGAAGCTTCAAATTCAGGACGGCTGGTTGAATCTAAGGTAGGAACAGAGGCACAATCATCTTCTAAAACATCAACTTTAAAAGAACAGGGGTTAATTATACAGAAGTCATGGTTTTTCTTAACCACCTATTAGTGAGCTTACGTGTGCATCATGAGATAACTGGTCTGAGAAGACAGGTTTTTCCTTATTCTAAATTTACCTCAGTAGGGGCCCCAGCCAAGCAGATGTTTGGCCTGTCAGACACATGAGGAAGGAGAAGGGCTGGTGGCCTTTGGAACTGTTCAGTACCCGTGCTATGCTGTCTGTTAAGAACTCTGACCTTCTTCCTTGCCCAGATCCCCACATTTTAGATTCTGGTGACCACGTCTGTATATATCCCAGTTGAAGTCTTCATAACTACAGGCCTCCGCTTGCCCTCTCGGTCTGTTTCTTTCCAGGTAGAAAAGTCCCCATTTATACCATTTCATGCTAATTAGGATGGTGATTATTAAAAATGAAACCAAATACATGGAAAAAAACCAAGCGCTGGCCAGCATGAGGAAACACTGGAACTCTCGTGCATTGCTGGTGGGAATGTGAAATGTTGTAGCTCCTGTGGAAAACATTCTTGCAGTTCCTCAAAAAGCCAAACACAGAATTACCATGTGATTCAGTGATTCCACCCCTAGGCATAACACCCCCCCCCCAATTGAAAACAGGGCCTACTTGTACATCGAAGTTCCCAGCAGCATTATTTCCAGTAGCCAAACGGTGAAAACATCAACAGATGAACGGATAAACAAATGTGGTCTATACCTCCAATGAAATATTAGTCAGCCTTAAAAAGTAAGGAGATTCTGACACAAGAGACAACATGGATGAACCCTGGGGATGTTATGCTAAGTGAAATAAGTCTGTCACAAAAGGACCAATATTGCAGGATTTCACTTATACGAGGTCCCTAGAAGAGTCAAATTCATAGAGACAAAGTAGAACAGTGGTTGCTGGGGCTGGGGAGATGGGAGAATCGGGAGTTACTGTTTAATGGGTACTGAGTTACAGCTTGGGATGATGAGAAAGTTCTGGAGACAGATGGTGGTGATGGTTGCACAAATTGTGAATGTACGAGATGCCACTGAATCGTAGCACAGAAATGGTACATTTTAGGATATATATATTGCCCCACATTTTTAAAAAAGGTCCCCTTTAAAAAGGTTTTTAGAACAGTCTTTTATCTGGCAGCCCTTTTCACTCACTTCTGGTTCTTCTCTGGACCTTCTTTAATTACCCTGTGTTTTTTTTTGTTTGTTTGTTTTTTCCTTTTTGAAGTATAGTGACCAGAAAATTGCACACAGAAGAAACATGAAGAATCTCATTGTGAACAACCTTACCCCAAACCTGATTAACGGGGCTTTAGGAAAGGAAACTGTGCCTAACTGAAGAGAAATATTCATAGTGACTTAAATCATCACGCTGTTTATTTCCTCTGCAAATTTCCTTTGGCATTAATGGTCATTTTGATGGCAGAGTCACAGCAACACTGGGGTAAGGTTATGCCGACCTTCCTGAGGCCTGACCTGTGGGCCACCTAGTTATTTATAACCTGATTCCTAATGACCCCAACGGAACCCTGGGGGAGAGGACAGAGTGGAATGTCTGCTGAATCCAGAAGCCCAGGCTCCTCTCTTGTCTGTGTTCTCCCTCACAGCTTCATCATTTCAGGGGGCTGCTTTGGAGTCTCTGCCTCTCTCAAAGAGGTTTCCAAATACCTAGTTAAGGGAAAGTCTGCATAATGTATCCCGAAGCCCATGGATGAAAGGTTTTCTACTCACATAATCTCACCTCTGATATGTCACATCCCTTGCTCATCTCCTCCCACAGTTTGGCTCCCACAGTTCAGTTGCACAATTACACGCTTTTGGCTAATCTTCTTGGAGAAAAGTACCCAAATGCTCAGGGCTTATTTATGAATTTTTCCAAGTATGACATCTGATCTTCAGTGACCCCTCGGTGTGTGTGCTACTCTACATAGTTCAAACGACGCAGTCTTTCCCAAGGGGCTTCCAGAGGTATGGAGAAGTGTGGCGGCCAAGGACTGACGAGAAAGGAGTCGTACCTAAATACGCAGATAGAATGTTCACATTGTTCACAAAGTGAAATGCTGAATGGGAGTCAAACAGGAGTTAAGGGGTGAGGAAAGGAGGGGCCAGAGGCACGTGTCATCTCCTTTCTCATTAGTGAGGGGAGAGGAAAGCTTAGTGAAGAAAACATGTGGGGAGGTGCACGGGCTCTGAGTGGAAGGAGTGGTGGGTGGAGAAAGGCCTCCAGGTAGAAAGGAAGAGAAGGGTGGGGGCAAGGGTGGGTTGATCCAGTGAACAAAGGAACACGGGAAGATACAGATGAAACAGCAGGAACTGCCTGACTGGATTAACCTTCAGATTTCTGTATCAATTAGGGCAGATATTCAAATTTAGAAGGAAACTACTGTTTATGGTAACTGCACCAAAAGTCAAAAAATACACCAACTGTGATTCTCCTTCCACCCTGGCTTGCTGGTTCTAGAAGTTTCTGGCCACGAGCAGCAATCTAGACTCGGGAATTAGGTATTAAAGGATTTTTGTAACTACGTTATAACTATTAAGCCAGAAATCATCTCACTGGCAGGCTAGGTTGGTTTTATTTTCTGAAAGCTTCTTTAACAACAAATATTCCTAGGAGGCATTTACTTTAACGCCTGCTTGTTGTGCATCAGAAATCAGAGTCTGTAACAGGGCCCTCTTCCATGGAGACCACCAAGGACTGTGAGTGTTAGGGGTAGGACAGCAGGCAAGAGGAGATCACGTAAGAGTAAGACTGAGGATGAGAGGAGGTTTGCTCATCCAACTGCAAACTGTGAACAGACTGCAACGTCATAAACTTTCACAGCAGAAGCTGCTTTTAATCTCCTCAGTACCATAAATCCACTCTCCAAATCACAAAAGAAACTTTCTCAAGCAAGGAGAAACTTTTAGCTAAGAGGCAGGAATTTTTACAGTGCACCACTGGGTAGGGACCGGAGCGCTGAGCCGTGGAGGGCGACGTGGTGATGCCGGGTGAAGCTCGCTTGCTTGGAGCGCCAGTGGGTGGTACTCAGGCTGCTGTGTCTTCCAACTAAAGCACAAGTGTGTGGGGTTTGTAGGACGCAGGTTGTACAATGGCTGGCTCGGAGGAGGCCAGGCGCACTCTCTTCTGGGCCTTCCCTGAGATTCCGTTACCTGCATATTCCTTCATGTGGCATCTAATAGTTTCTGTTTCCATCCAAAATTCCATCCCATTTTCCTGAACCTCAATTCATTGTAGTCTACTAGTAATACATTTTCTACTCCCATCAAAATTTTGAGATTCATTTGTTCTCTCTAGTTTTTATATTATTCTTTGCTCAATACTAAAATATAATAGTGCAAAGAGTCCCTGAAAATAACTTCTAAGAGTTTCATGTTATCTGTACAGCCAAGAAAGTTAGCTGTGGAAAAGCTCAGAATGTCGAACATTGGACTCAAATTCAAAGATTCAGAGTCAACTATGCTGTATTTCCCTTTACTACATATGTAGCGAATAGGCAACAATATGGCAAATTTTTCTCAACATCACCCTCTCTTATTAGCCAATTTACTTAGAACTTCATCTCACTTTCTATGTTGCACTGTGGCATATCAGGGCTAAATGTTTCCCCATAACTGTCCTCCTGCAGAACGCCCCCCCCCCCCAACCTCCAGCCAATATACATTGAAGGGCTGGACTTTCCCCTTTGCTTTAATAGCTGTTCCAAAGAATGGATGTTGGTTCTAAGGAACTTGGAGGTGATCTATCAAACGCACTGGTTTTTAGCAAAGCAGATCTCCTCACCAGGCAATTACACTCTCCATGAAGATAGGCTTTCAGCGTCAAGATTTTCTGAGAATCATGTGATGTCACAAGACTGTAGGGGAAGAATGGGGCACAGAAATGTGACAGTCATACAGAGAGTGTGACCCCCACAGCCCACTTCCCCGGGCTCCTTCACCCAATTGCAGCAAAACTTGAGCTACCATGTACAGGCAAGGATGCCCCTGTCCTTCTTGAGGGTTGGGAAGTGTGTGGGTGTGCTTTCAAAGGCCATAATAATGGGGGTGGGGGATTGCTGACATTCAATAGGTGGGGGGGGGGGGGGCAGTGTCAAGGGTGCTAAACGTCTAAAAACGCAGGGAAGAGTCGTGTACTAGGAAGAATATGTCTGCTCAGAATGCCACCAATGCTTCTAATGAGAAACACTGTAGAGCCATGAAGGAAGTGCTTTCTGGGGAGAATCTTACTGTTTCTTCACAAGAAAGAATATCCATCTACTTCCATGGCACTTTATAGAATGTGTAGATGTTAAAGACAGCAGAGGTTACATTCTCTTTGTAAATTCTCAGTCCCAAACAAAGGAGTCATAGCACACAGTACGTGTGTGGTAAATGCTGAAGATCCTACAGGAAAGGGTGGGGCTCCCACCACGAGCAGTACAAAGCAGTGCTGGCCGGAATATGAAGCGACTACCTTGGACTGTGACTCAGTCACACAAGCGCCCTTCCTTGAGACGACTATCACACAGGGCCCTGGAGAACTTTACGTGTGCATCCTATTTCATCAGGCAGAACATTAAAAAGATATGTAATCCAGAGCTGAGATTTA